CTAAACGAGTTTCTCTATTATGCTGTCGACAATTTTAGAGAAAATTATTCATCTCAGAATAGAATGATTCGCCATCTATGCTTAACGTAAAACTTAAAAATTCATAAGGCTATAAAAATTTTTTTATTTAATTATAATGAATCTATGTTGTCAATTGTACGAAAAAATAAAAATGTTATCATCATCACTTTTATTTGAACTTAATGCAAACTTGATTTTTAAATTGCAAATACGTATTATTTTTATATATTCTTGTACGTCATAAGTAAAAAGAAAACTATGTAAAAAAAATTATTTATTTTAAGTTTAAACAAGTATAAAAAACACTGTTTATTTTAAACAGTATTTTGAAATTTAGGTGATATAAAAAAATATATATCATGTCATTAATGAGAAAATAAACTATGATAAGCTTTTAAATAATACCAAAATTATGTGTTTTTTTTAAGAAAAAAATCAGTACTCGTGTTCTATTATTTTAAAAATATTTAAAACTATATGACATCAAAAAGGCTACATTTACAACAATAAAGTTTCTTGCAAGATCACTATAAAACTCAATATTACGGAAACCTTAATTTTTAACAGACCACATCAATTTACACAAGAGCGGATCGAGACAATTTGTTTAGAATAATCACATATCATATGATTGAATGATATTTTTATAACCTGTTGAACTAAAAGATACAGAGACCAAACCGCTACACAAAACTGTATAAAAATAATATTAATCTTTTATTTTTATCGTTTATTACTTCTAAATACTCCTACCATTGGTATCATGTCATCCGTGATCCTCCACTGATTTTACACAAGCAAAAATTAGTTCATATAATTTTAATTATAAAAATGTTTATATTAATGTTTGAAAGATATTAAAATATATGTATCAAATTATAAAATTGATGATATTTATATTAAGTAAATGTAACTGTTGAATATAAGTTTTTAAATATGCAGTAAAAATCACATTAAAGGTTTTTAAAGTCTTTTAGGCAACGATGAGTTGGTGGCCAACATACTAATGCCATTTAGTTTAAGTATTGAATCTATTGATTTATCATTCTTTATTCAGATTATTCTAAACAATTGGGCTAATGTACATTTTCTTACTCATTTTAAATTGCTTACATAAAGAACCGTTGACAGTCAAAATATTAAATACAAAAAACCCTTTCTCGAAGTGTGCTGATTTACATACAAAAAATTATATAATGTTCCTTTTTCAATAAATAAAGTATCGACGTAGGTAATAAATAACGCATTAAAATATACCGACAACAAAATGAAGCCGCGGCTTGTTGAAAGAATTAATTCAACGAGATAATTCTGTATTAAATTCAGAACTTCAAAAAACTGGCTCGCTCGCGTATATATTGGCAGAACTGAGCTTTTTTTTATTATTTTTAATTACCCTCATCTTAGGATATTGTAGTAAGCGCTTTAGGTGATTTTTAGTTTATTGTAATAAATTTAAACGTTATATGGTTATTATTTTAAGATAAGATACATAGTTTTCAATGAACAATTTAACACATATATATAATAACTGGTGTGCAATAGTGAAAATGATACGGCAGATAAATAAACTATTTATTTATATACGTGTAATATAAAATACAGATTAATTTTTCATTAATAAATGTAAGATGCATAATGCAAAAAATTAAGCATATTACAACACAAATCTGATCAACATTAAAAAATGCCACGATCTGATAGTAATGGTTATACTTTTTGTAACAACTTCAATTTATTTATTCTTTGACAACTTGTCTTAAGTAAATAATTAATATTGCATAATCGTTTTCATCAGAATATCATAGATTACATCATACAAGTATTTTAAAACATCATAAAAAAATAACTATGCTTTTACCACAAAGTATTTAATATTCTTAGTATAACCTAAACTTTTGAGATCAGTTAAGCACTTAAAATTAAATGAAATAAATTTTTTTTTT